TCTCTCTCTCTCTCTCCCGGATCATCCACCAGCGGCAAGAGAGAGAGCGAGAGAGAGCGAGAGAGCGCTAGCTTCACTTCATCATCTTCTTCCTCTTCTCTTCCTCACCTCCTTCAACCTTGACGTCGTCAATCTTGGCCTTGTCATCCGACGGGCTGGCCTGTCCCTCCTCGTCTTCCTCCGAGATCGCGCTGGGCTCCTCTTCGAGGACCGCTCCCTCGATCGACGAAGCGACAGGTGGGTTTGACTGCGACTGCGTCGTGGCAGATGCCGCCGCGTCGGCGTCATCCCTGCCCCTGCCCCGCGCTATAGGATCGTGACCGCGTCCGCTGTTGCTGGGTGACACGCCCACTGCTGCCGTCGCGTCCTCGGCAATCTTGCGCTTCACGTCCCCCACGATCTTGTCCACCTCGCTGACCTTGGCTGCCGTTGCTGCTGCTGCCGCTGCTTCTGTGCCCTCCTCCTCCTCCTCCTCCTCCCCCTCCTCCTCCTCCCCTTCATCCTCCTTCTCCGCTCCGGCCTCCTTGACGCTCTTGCTGCCCTGACTTCCTGCCTCCCTGTCCATCCTGACAACCATGCACGACAGGTTGTCCGTGCTGAACCGGCTGAGGGCGTGGTCCACGAGAAGTTTGGATGCCGCCACGGGGTCATGCATGTCGCGTACCAGGTCTACGGCTTCCTGGTCGCTGCAGACGTCCCAGATCTGTCAATTTGTTAGTTTTTCTCTCCACAGCTCTATATCTGTGTGTGTGTGTGTGTGTGTATGTGTGTGAGTGTGTAGGTGTGAGTGTGTAGATGTAGTCGATTCCTCTTCTTTCTAACGTGAGACGCATAGTCAAGGTCGACAAGAAAGGGGGGGGGGGGAAGAGAGAAACTTACACCGTCACAGGCAATAATGACAAACTCGTCGCTTCCAGGCTGAATGACCGTCTCCGTCGTGTATGGGTGCCCGGTCACCAGATCCTTCATGTACGTGTCGCCCAGCGCCCTCGTGACGGCCAGCACGCCATTGACGCGGTTATTGAGTATCAGCCCACCGGCGTTGGCGATGCGCCTTCCCTCATTCTCGTCGCTGCCCTTGTGGTCGTACGACAGGCGGAGAGCCTTGCCGGAGCGGCACAGGACGATGCGCGCGTCGCCGACGTTGGCCGTGTACAGGACCCTCTGGCGGGACGCTTCGCGTTTTAGCCTGGCGGTGGCAGCCGCCGAGGCGCTGGCATCTTCTGACTTGCTGCCGCTGCCCTTGCTATTGTTGCTGCTGCTGCTGCCCTTGCTGCCGCCGCTGTCGGTCTTCTGCGGCTTGCTGCCATCACCCTCGTCCGCCTTAGACTTGGCCGCGGCTGCGGCTGCGGCTGCCGCCGAGAGAGGCTGGGATCCCGTGACGGATCGGTCGCTGGGCACGCGGTCCTCCCATCTCAAGACGGCGATGGCGGCCGTGCACCCGCTGTTCTTCACCGGCAGCTTCTCGAGCTGGCTGTCCACGGCGGTGAAGGTCTGGTCGAGGAGCTCCGGCATGGGGGCGGTGGGATTCCTGCGCACCGTATCCTCCAGGAGGACGTGGAGCTTCTTGCCGCACCAGTCGGCCGCAAAGGTGCCGGCGTGGCCGTCAAAGATGGCAAAGTACCCATTGTCCGACTCCACCACGTCCTGCTTCTGCGAGCCGACGGTGTCGTCCGGGTCGCTCGCCGAGACCGCCGCCGCAGTGGTGGCGGGCCTGGGAGGCGGGGTGGTGGACAGGAAGTTGTAGAGGAAGGCGTGCGTGTCCTCCATTGTGCGGCGGCACTTCTTGTTCCTGTCCTCCCAGACGCCCACGCGAAAAGTGGATTTCGGGCCGGGCAGCGACTCCCCGGCCGAGTTGTTGTACTGGCCCTGGGGCACAGCAAGGGCCGGGTCGTGGCGGCCGAGCTTCTGGATGGGTGACTGGCTGTCCGAGCTGTTGGCGTTGGCGGCCGCGGCCGCGGCCGAGGCGCGGCCGACGTGGGCAAAGTTGAGAGAGTTCTTGGCCGAGGCGATGAGGCTGCTTGCCTTGCCGCCTACGCTGCTGCTGCTGCGTCTCTTCTTATCCGAGGACACCCCTGCGCCGCCGCCACCTCCGTTGTCGCTGCCGTTGTTGCTGTTGCGGCCGGTGGGGCTGCCGTTGCCGCTGCGCTTCTCGCCGCTGGCAGCCTGATCCGTCGTCTTGGAGGGGGTAGCGGCAGCGGCCGAGGCGGGGGTCGTGGATGCGCCCTCGTCGACGCCGTCGCTACCGGTGGTGGGGGAGGAGAGCGGAATCTTGGCGGCGGCAGCGTCGTCCGTCGTCTCGGCTGCTGCTGCTTTGGACCCGGGCGAGCTGTTGCCGGTGGTGCCGCTACCAAACATTCTATTCAGCAGACTTCCTCCTTGAGCGGAGAGGCTGCGACGCTTGCTGCCCGCCAGTTTTGCGGGCGACGTAAGAGGGGAATGTAGATGGTAAGGGCGGCCAGAAGAACAAGGGCCAGCGTTTCGCTATGTTTGCAAAGATTCTCGAGAGGGCGGCGGGGGTATGCGTGCGTGCGTGCGTGCGAGAGAGGTGGACGGGTTGGGGGGGCAGCACCGCGTTCGGGTGACGATGAGCAGCTGGTATCGATGCTTTACCTGACGAGAGCCGCAGCCGATGCAAAAGTTGCGATCCAAATGGGATCCGAGTCGGGGGGGAAG